CGGCGCTCAGGTTGCGGACCGCTGGCCGTGGGCTTTTTGTAGGCAGAGGCTGAAGAAGTTGCGCTCGTGGCTGCCACAGATATGAACTACCGGCGGTTCCTCACGGCGACCAGCTTGGCCAGGACGTGTTCTCCCATCCGAGCCCTGGGTGAGACTGGCAGCCTGCGCGAGCTGTGACGGGGATGCGCGGGGAAGAGGAGGTTCTGCTGTTGTCCCAAGCCCTGCGTCTTCTCCTTGGTCATCTCCATGACAGAGTCTCACTCTCTTGCCCCAGGCTGAGCGCAGTGGCCTCAGCCTTGCTCACAGCAACCTCAGACTCCTGGACTCAAGTGATCCTTCTGCCTCAGCCTCCCAAGTAGCTGGGACTACAGGCGCCCACAAAACACCAGCCTAGTTTTGTGACAAAATACCATGAATTTGGGTAATTCATACAGAATCACGGTTTATTTCTCAGTTGGGGAGGCTGGGAAAGCTAAGCACATTCTGTTGGCGTTGGCAGAGCCTTCTTGCCACTTACTGGCAGGGTACTAGGAGAAACTTGGGTCCTCAACAGTCAAGGGTGATCCCCCATGTCTTTCAGCTTTATAAGGGCTAATGCTGTTCATGAAGAAGAGACCCTCATGACCTAATTGACTCCTGAAGGCCACACCTCTTCATACTACCATATTGGGTATTCCAACATATGAATTGGGGGAGGGACACTAACATTTAGACCACAGCGTATTCTATCACTAAAAATTGTTTAACTTTATAGTTTTATTAATTTTAATGCATACTTAACTATCTTCCTTTATAGCAATCTTCAGTGAAAATGGTTCTTCTCTTCTGTGTTTATTGTAGCTGATAAATTGGTTAAGGCACCAAAATCAGTCATTTCATTGGCTGCTGGGTCACCAAATCCAAGAATGTTCCCCTTTAAGACTGCCATTATCACTATGGAAGATGGAACGACCATCCAGTTTGGAGAAGAGATTATGAAGAGAGCACTTCAGTATTCTCAGACTGCTGGGTAGGTATTGAAAGATTAACATTCATTTTACTGGCTCATTTTCATGAGAAATATTCTGAGGCCCATTGATAAGGTGACTTGTATCTTTTTTAACTGGATGTTCAAAGGCTAGGAAAGTTTGGGAAAGTGTTTTCCAAGAATAATCAACGCAAGAGGGCTATCGACTGCTTAACACTCCACAGTGATGTCTTCTTAACTTTAAGCGACAGAAAGAGTCAGAAAAGGTTTCTGGAAGGAAGATCCATTTGAGCTGACTCTGAAACAACAAGGAGATAGCTAGATGAAGAAGCACATTGGGAGAAAGGAAATGCATAATCCAGGAAGCAGTGGATCTCCAGGCAATTTTTGGCGGAGCAAGTTTGAACATGCCACCTCCGCTTATACCTGGGCCCTACTCCTTTAAGCCACTGGCACCACCTCCAGGCACTTTTTTTTTTTTTTTAAACAGCAGCCCTGGGCATACTGCATCTTTAATCTCTTGCTGCCCACGTCACCCAGGTTGGCCAAGGCCTCGCTCCAGACCACCGCTGACACCACCACCCCCCAGGCAATTTTTTAATGATTGTGTTCCTTTTCTAAACAAACAGCTATGCACAAACATTGCCTTCATACTTTCCAATGTTTTTAATTTCTTTCTTTTTTTTTTTTTTTTTTTTTGGAGACAGAGTCTCACTATGTCACCCTCAGTAGAATGCCATGGTGTCACAGCTCCTAGCCACCTCCAACTCTTGGGTTTAAGCGATTCTCTTACCTCAACCTCCCAAGAAGCTAGGACTACAGGCACCTGCCACAACGCCTGGCTGTTTTTTTGTTGCAGTTGTCATTGTTGTTTTTGCTGGCCCTGGCTGGGTTCAAACCCACCAACTTCGTTATATATGACTAGTGCCATAACCACTGTGCTACAGGTGCCAAGCCCCAATGTCTTTAATTTCTTAAAGGCAAACTGAAATACATACCTATAGACTTTCTTTTTCTTTTTTCTGAGACAGAGTCTCATTATGTTGCCCTCAGTAGAGTGCTGTGGTGTCATAGTTCACAACAACCTCAAATTCTTGGGCTTAAAACTTTCTTTACTCTGAGATTGAAATGTGTTATTTGTTTTTTTTTTTTTTTTTTTGAGACAGAGCCTCAAGCTATCCCCCTAGGTAGAGTGCCATGGCATCACGCTCACAGCAACCTCCAACTCCTGGGATC